ATGGATTAGTAAATTATAAAAGAATTATAGCAATTGCTTTAGGAATCTTTAGTGGTGATGTTTAGAGAATGGCAGGAAGAGGAAACCTACCATCCTTTACTCATACTTTCATCAGTTGTAAAATGAGGATAATAACCGTGTTCTGTTCAGTAAATGAAACCATGTTTTAAAAAATGTCCAGTACAGGGGCACCTGGGTGGCTCAGTTGGTTGAACATCAGACTTGGGCTCAGGTCATGATCTCACAGCTCTTGAGTTCTAGTCCCGCATTGGGCTCTGTGCTGATGGCTCAGAGCCTGGAGACTGCTTTGGATTCCATGTCTCCCCGTACCCTTCCCCACTCACACTCTGTCTCTTAAAAATAAACATTGAAAAAAAATTTTTTAATGTTCAGTACGGTTCTGTCTCTTTCCTTATCTACCCCACCTGCCTCTTTCACTTCCCACACTCTTAGGAAGACATGAATTTTCAGATTCTGATATTTTTGTGAAAGGTGTGCCTAAATGATCCTTGGGATTTAGAAAGAGGGTAAGATACGTATTGGGGGTTTATTTCCATCAAGATCTACTGAAATGCTAGAATTGTGTTTTGGAGTTTTATTGAAGGATAATGTCGAGGATTTTGTCAGTCATCTGGTAATATTAATACGGATGACCCTTGAACAGGGTAGGGCTTAGGGATGCCAACCTCCCCCATGCACAGTTGGAAATCTGCATAAAACTTTTGATTCCCCCAAAACTGAATTCTTAATAGTCTGCTCTTAACTGTTAGCCTTACTGATAACAGTTGATCCACACATATTTTGTATGTTATGTATATTATATACTACATTCTTATAATAGAGAAAAGAAAATGTTAAGACAGTCATAAGGAAGGGAAAATACATTTACAGTACTGTAGTTACTGAAAAGAGTCCATGTATGAGTGACCTGTGTAGTTCAAACCCACATTCAAGTCACCTGTACATATATCAATATGTAAATCAAAATGTAAAAATATTTTCCCTTTTATTCTCCACAATAACTAAACTTCTGCATGTGTTATAAAATTACCTGTTGATGTGTGTGGTGGAGGTGTGTGTGTGAGAGTGAAGTGGCTATCACTAGCTAGATTATTCCTATGAGAACCATGATTTGACATAGGGAATTAGGTCCAACTATTTCACTGACTTTCTCAAAATGATGATTATTGAGGTGCCTGGCTGGCTCAGTTGGTAGAATATGAGACTCTTGACCTCTGGGTTGTGAGTTCAAGCCTCACGTTGGGCATAGAGCTTACTTAAATAACATTTTAAAAAAATATTTTGTTGATGATTATCATGTGCTTTGTAGTCTCAATTAAGTCGAGAATATCCCTTCACATCGACAGTATTGGGTATTGTTCATGGTGCTGATTGTTTTTCGGATTCGGCTGAACTAACAGCAGTAACATTTTAAGTTTTTGTCTGAGCTTTTTATATATATGTTCCCTGTCTCTATTGTCCAGGTCACAGGACAAAGCTGTTTTGAGCATCATCTTTATTATTTTTTTAATGTTTATCTATTTTTGAGCGAGAGAGAAAGAGAGAGAGCGCGCGAGCAGGGGAGGGGCAGAGAGAGAGGGAGACATGGAATCAGAAGTACGCTCCAGGCTCCGAGGTATCAGCATAGAACCTGACGCAGAGCTTGAACTCAGGAGCCGTGAGATTATAACCTGAGCCAAAGTCAGACACCTAACCAACTGAGCCACTCAGGTGCCCTTTAAACGTCATCTTTAGATCAGACCTAATCTTTCAGTCAGGTGAGAAACAGCATTAGCAAAGCAAAGAGTATGGACTCTGTTGCCAGGCTGCCTGGATTCAGATTTTGGCTTTGGCAAAATAACAGTGTTTCCTCCTCTATAAAATGAGAGTAGTGACAAGTATTTGTTTAGGACAGTGCCTGACAGAGTAAGCACTATGTGTGTTAGCTCCCATTTTTGTTTTAAGAAATAATTGTATTCAGGGGCGCCCGGGTGGCTCAGTTGGTTAAGTGTCCGACGTCAGTTCAGGTCATGATCTTGCAGTTTGTGAGTTCAAGCCCCGCCTCGGGCTCTGTGCAGACAGCTCGGAGCCTGGAGCCTGCTTCAGATTCTGTGTCTCCCTCTCCCTCTGCCTCTCCCCTGCTCACGCTCTGTCTCTCTCTGTCTCTCAATAATGAATAAATGTTTAAAAAAATTTTTGTTTTAAAGAAATAATTGTATTCATCCCATAACAAATAGGTATTCAGTAGGGTTAAACTAACTCCTGTTAAATTGTAGGCAAAATTCACTGGGGGTGATGAAAAAGAGGGTTCTTATCCCAAGTATTTCCTGGCACCAAACTGCCCTCACTGCCTTTCCTTTGCTAGAATGGCTACAGAACCCATAGGTCCAAGCTAGTGCCTGAGAAGACATTACCACCTACCTGACATCCCTAGCTCTCTTAGAACCAAAGCCCCACAGAGGCTGCAGCTCCCACAAGTAGCCTTAAAAGTTGGAGTATTGCTGGCAGCAGGTGGCCATGACGTTAGATACCCAACTAGGCACCAGGCCCTCTAGAGTGTTAGCATCGCTCCAAGGACACCATCTCCTTGCTGAAGTTCGGCCAGCTCTGGAAATAGAATATGTGGGGGTGGGGCCTGGTGTTCAGAAGCCATGATATGCTGATCGGTGGCTACAAGTGCATCCTGCTGTTCTACACCCAGGGCTCCCTGGGGCAGCATGAGGCATAGGAGTTCCAGATACAGGTTGCAAACTGGCTGTACTGGGGGCAATGGAGCTTAGTGGTTTGGGGCAACAGGACTTTAGGGGGAGTTGAATGAGTAAAGACTAATCAGTATAGATACTCTATTAATAGAGCAATGAGTATCTCTGAGACCCCTTTAGTTATTGGATTGTGGGTCATCCAGGCGACTGTGGGCAGGAAACTCAAAGCTAAAATTTTAGCCCTTGTTTCCACAGAGCTTTTTAAGGTGATATAATACTCTATAAATAAACATACCCTGTCTTCCTGGTGGGAATTACATTTCCAAAAATAATTTTTTTAAGTTGAGGGCCTATCTGTAGTAGCCTGGAAAGGGCAAGTGCTTGGACAATACTGCTTTTGCTATGGGGGGGGGGGGGGGGGGGGGTAGGACTACCCTGTTACTTCTTCATATTGCTGCTGTGGGAGCCTGGGCTTCCTTGAGGACCACCACTGATGGGAGTTACAAAATACCTTTCAACAGATTGAGGCAGTTAAAGAAGACTTAAGCTGCATGGTATTTCAGTCCATTTAGCAGAACACTTTGTGGTTCATTCTGTCAAGCAAGTGAAATGATAAACATTAAGCTAAAAGCTTATAATCAAGCTTCCATTTATAGAAGACTGTTCAGCTTGGGTACAGTGATTGTGAGTGCACCTCAAAGTCTATCTTAGACTTTTGTTCTTCAACAAAGACAGTTGTCCTTTCTGTGCCTCATCTTTCCATCTGTACGATGGGTAGGTCATTCTATCACACTAAGCTGTAGTGGGAACATATAAATACCATGGGAAGCTGTGTAATGCAGTTCAGGAAGGCACTGGAATATGCAAGTTCATACTTGGGTGAATTGAGCAGGTTAATCCTCTGAGTGATAGTGATCTCATCTGTAAGTATAGTTCTTTTTCTTTTTCTTTTTCTTTTTCTTTTTTTTTTTTTTTTTTTTTTTTTTGCCTACCCCTCCTGCCCCCCATCTACCCAATAATTCCCCTGGTTGGGGTAACTAAGTGAGAAAATACTGGGCATAGGGATCGAAATCTTGAATCTGTTAGGACTTTAGAGCTAAAAATAGCAATGGTAATCATTTTTCTACTCTATCATATTTTCCAAAGAAGAATAATTAAGGGAGTTAACCGAGGGCACAGGCTGTTTGACAGGTGTGGAGAATTATAGAAATGCTCAAATTTTTTTGAACGTTGTGATGCTTTAGTACAATAATAAAAGAATGTTGTCCGTCTTGCACCTATGTGAGTAAGTAATGGATGATTCTCAAAGGGGTAGAGGTAGAGTATGTATAAGAATCATTAGAAGGGGGGCTTTTCCAAATTACATATGTTTTCTGCTCCGTGGAAGGGGATGCCAGAATTAATGGGGGAAGGACCAGAAGTGGGTGGGGAGGGTGTAACTTTTTTCCTTTCAAAAACTTACAGGGGCACCTGAGTGGCTCAGTTGGTTAAGTGTCCCAACTCTTGATTTCAGCTCAGGTCACGATCTTGTGGTTCATGAGATTGAGCCCCGCATCAGACTCTACACTGCACGGAGCCTGCTTGGGATTCTCTCTTTCCTCCTCCTCTCTCTCTCTCAAAATAAATCAGCATTTTAAAAATATATCAAAATAATAAAATCAAATAAACTATTATAGATACATGCTTAAGAAAAGTAAACTATGCAGAAGGTTTTATTGTTTACAAGGAAAAGTAAATTTCCCATGTAGATTCCACCCTTGGCAGTAATTACTGTTAAGCTTCTTATTTTTTTTTTTTTTGTTACTGTTAAGTTTCTTATGTGTCATTCTAGAAGTGTTGTATGTAAATATATAAGTATATTTATGTATATAAGTGGAAGGGTCTATACTATTCTGTACGCTTTGTTTTTTGGTTTTATTTAGTATCAACACATGTAAAGCTATTTATTTAAAGACCTACATAGTATTACAAATAAAGATGTACCCATAGGTAGCTAACAGTTCCTAGTTGATAGATTTTTACAATTTCAAGTTTTCTGCTTTTGTAACAGTGCAACAGTAAACATCCTGGTATGTCCTCAGTACAGCCCAGGTGTACCTCTTGGATAAATTTCTAAACATGAAATTATTGAAAGGTGTGTGTGTGTTTTAGATTTTGAGAGATTGAATTTATTTACATCAAGTGTACGGATATAGAAAAGCTCCCCTGGTATTTATAAAAAACACATTCCCTCTAAAGCAGAGTAAAACTTGGTTTGACTCTAACAAAACATGTTTACTTTCTTTTTTCCACTTGAAGCCTGTGCCTACTGCACTGGCTCAAGTAGACAGAGAAAAAATCTATCAGTGGATCAATGAGCTGTCCAGTCCTGAGACAAGGGAAAATGCTTTGCTGGAGCTGAGTAAGAAGCGAGAATCTGTTCCTGACCTTGCACCCATGCTGTGGCATTCATTTGGTACTATTGCAGCACTTTTACAGGTGGGTACATACCAGTGAGTTGCAGGTCATTCCTGTTTATCATGCTTCTCTCTCTCTGTCTGCTCAAATGATTTCGAAGACTTTGGTAGAATAGTTCTTTAAATGTTAGCATTTGTAAGAATCTGTTTTAGAAAAGTCTAAGGTGCTTGTTAAAATGCAGATTCTTGGGTCTTACCCAAAAGATTTATTTGGTCTCAGATTAAAAATCTTTTTTTAGAAAGCACCTGCCCTGCTCTCAGGTGATTCTGATGCAGGTAGTCTGAGAACTACACTTTGAAAAACACAGCTTTAGGAATACCACAAGACACTTCTACATGACAGAAGAAAAAAGGTAGAAAGTAAAGTATAAGAACTGCAGGGTATATTCTGGCAAAAGGAAATATTAAGATAAAGATATGATAGCTATAGGATTAGAGGTAGGTACACTTGTACATTAAAGGGTAAGTAACCAAAATTTGGTTCTGACTGTAATGATCATTGGTGGGAAATAAATTGATATGGTATAATCTTACAATACCAAGATAATGGAATAATCATTCTTTAAAGTATTGTCCAAAATTCCTAATAATGAGATTAATTTTTCAAGCCTGTTAAGTAAATTTGCATTCATTTCCTATATCATGTAACCAAGAAACTAATCTTTCCTTTTTTTAATGTATAATTAACATACATACAGTGTTATATTAGTTTTGGGTATACAGTATTACAATTCAGTGATTCAACAATTCTGTACATTACTCATTGCTTATCACAATAAGTGTATTCTTTTTTTTTTTTTTAAATGTTTATTCATTTTTGAGAGAGACAGATTGCAAGCAGGGGAGGGGCAGAGAGAGAGAGACACACACAGAATTCCAGGCAGGCTCCAGGCTCCGAACTGTCAGCACAGAGCCAAATGTGGAACTCGAACTCACAAACCACAAGATGTCATGACTTGAGCCAAAGTCAGATGCTCAACCAACTGAGCCACCCAGGTGCCCCACAATAAGTGTGTTCTTAATCCCCAAAACTAATCTTTCTTTCAGGGACTTTTCCTATAAAAGTTTTACAATTAAAAAAAAAAAGGAATTGTATACAGCATATCATCACCTTTTGACAGAGTACATATGTTCACTGCTGTTTGAACATATCTCCATGTGTATACCCACGTTCTTTTTTTTTTTTTTTTAACATTTATTTATTACTGAGAGACAGACACAGAGCATGAGCAGGGGAGGGGTAGAGAGAGGGGGAGATATAGAATCTGAAGTAGGCTCCAGGCTCAGAGTTGTCAGCCCAGAGCCCGATGCGGGGCTCGAACTCACAAACTGCGAGATCATGACCCGAGCTGAAGTTGGTCGATTAACCAACTGAGCCACCCAGGTGCCCATCCCACGTTCTTATCTCTCCCTTTTTGCAGTTGCTACCTGACCAAATTTAGACTTCTTAATGAGTCACTGTGGTTGATCTACTGACACTTGCTATCTGGCCAGTTATCACTATAACTTAAAGCAGGGTACTGACAAAATGGAGGATTATAAATATAAGAGCCCCTCAAGTGAAGGCCTCAACAGATGCTGGATATAAAGAGGGAAGTGTAGGTGACCACAGTTGCCTCCAGACAAATCTTCTAGAAACCTATGTAGAAATTTCTCTTAGTCTCAGGTATCTTTGGGATGAAAAGATAGCATTGTTTATTTCTGCTCCCACTTTGATAGTTCAGTTCTTACAGGATATGTGGAATCAAAAGTTGTGGGAGTTTTGGGGGGCCTGGGTGGCTCAGTCGATTAAGTGTCCGACTTCGGCTCAGGTCATGATATCACAGTTCGTGAGTTCGAGCCCTGCATCGGGCTCTGTGCTGGCAGCTGAGAGCCTGGAGCCTGCTTTGGATTCTGTGTCTCCCTCTCTGTCTGCCCCTTTCCCACTCACGCTCTGTCTCTCAAAAATAAATAAATGTTAAAAAAAAATTTTTTTTTAAGTTGTGGGAGTTTTTAGGGTTTTTGCTTTAATACCATGGGAATTCATTTTGTAATAAGTTCTTTATTCATCTGCTGCTGGTTTCCATTTTTTAGGAAATTGTAAATATTTATCCATCCATCAACCCACCCACCTTGACAGCACACCAATCTAACAGAGTTTGCAATGCTCTGGCATTACTGCAATGTGTGGCATCACACCCGGAAACCAGGTCAGTCCTTTGATGCGTCTGTTGATGGAGGTTGTATTGAATATGGTCTTTTTATGAATGAGAGGAAGAGGCATGCAGTGGGGTGCATGTGTGTGGGTGTGGATCTCCAGGATTCTCATTTGCTTTGCTTTTCCTGAAGAATTTCTGGTCTCTAATTCACCAAGTTTTCATGTAGTAACAGCATAGTATTGTTTAACATGTTCTTTTATAATTTTTTTTTTTTGCCTTTTTAAAATTGCAGTAAAGTATACATGACATAAGCTTACCATTTCAACTATTTATAAGCATAGAGTTGAGTAATAAGAATACCTTTATAATTTGCAACCACCACCACCATCCATCTCCATTACTTTTTTCATCTTGTAAAACTGAAACTTTACCCATTAAACCATAACTCCCCATTCCCATAGCCTCTGGGAACCATCTTTCTACTTTCTGTCTGTATGATTTTGACTACTCTGAGTATCTCATTTAAGTGGAATCATTCAGTATTAGTCTTTTTGTAATTGGTTTACTTCATTTAGCATAACGTCTACATTGTAGTATATGTCAGAATTTTCTTCCTTTTTAAGGCTGAATAATAATCCGTTGTCTCATTTACTTTTTACTCATTTATAACACTGAACTTTAAAGGAATGGCATTCACGGGGCGCCTGGTAGAGCATGTGGCTCTTGATCTCAGGGTCGTAAGTTTGAACCCCACGTTAGAGGTAAAGTTTATTTAAAAATAAAATAGGGGCGCCTGGGTGGCTTAGTCGGTTGAGTGTCTAACTCTTGATTTCGGCTAAGGTCATGATCCCAAGGTTGTGGGATCAAGCCCCACATCAGGCTCTGTGCTGAGTGTGGAGCCTGCTTAAGATTCTCTCTCCCACTGCCCCTCACCCCCACTCGAGTGCATGCACGCTCGCTCTCTGTCTCTCTCTCTCTCTCTCAAATAAAAAAATAAAAATAAAGGAGTGGCGTTCACATCTCAAGAAAAGTCAGGTATGTAGATACTTCTCCCCCCTTAACCCATGGTAGACATCACTGTGCCATATATGAGGCACAGTGCATGGCATTTAGCAGGAGTTCAGTAAATATTTGAACCCAGCATTTTTCCCCACTGAACCTAGATTTGGCTTCAGAATCTTTCTTAACCAAGGATTCTAGGCAGCCTTGTAAAAGATTAGATTAGAATTGGCATGCAAGTTGGCCTGCTACATCTGACAGGAAAAGGAAAATCCTGTTCAGGTATCTGCTTTGTGACTTTTATGGCTCTGAGGCACTTAATGACATCTTATTGAAGTCTTTCCTCTTTTTCTCAAGTTTCCTTATGAAATCTGAGTGCTAGGTTGACACTGACATTTTAGAGCTCTAGAGAAGTTACAATGAAAGTTATTTTTAAGCACTTAAGAAAAATGCAAGAGTACTGTGTTAAAAATTTAGAGTGTTTGCTCTCCCATAAGGTGTAACTATAAATAACAAAGTAATGGATTGGTTCCACGTTAGTTGCCTGACATATTAGCTTCAGATTACAATGTTTTTAGAATATCTAGTGTATCTGAAATGCTCTAACAAAAAAAAGAACAGTGTGCATTTAAACATAGCAGATAAACCTGATAATGGCTCCTTTGTTTTCCTGTCTCGGTTTATAAGGTTTTGTGTGACTGTACCTGTGAATAGGTGAGGGAAGGCATCTAGGAGAATTTCTCGGGCACTTAATAGCATTTTATGACCTACTTTTTTAAATCTGCAATTGGATATTTTATCAGTTTTTCAGGTACTTGATACTGATTACAGGGAAAATGGTGTATTCTCTTAACCATTGATCTAGACTAGGTTTTTTTTTTTTTAACCTTGACATTGCCATTTTGAGCTAGGTTTTGTGGTGGGAGGAGGGGAGTGAAAGGGGGCTGTCCTGTGCTCTGTTGGATGTTTGGCAGCATCCCTGGCCTCTGCCCACTGAATGCCACTAGCACCCCCCTCAGTTGTGACAACCAAAATTATCTCCAGACATTGCCGCATGTGCGCTGGTGGGCAAAATCATCCCAACTGAGAACCATTGGTCTAGACTAATGACCGTTGACCCTTTTCTAGAGGTTTCTTGGTTAGGCAATGTTATAGACCTTACAGAATGAACTGCCTGGAAATTGAATATTCACAGTCCTTAGAAATTGAGTCTGGGCTCTGAATGTGATTATCTTTTTCTTTCAGGTCAGCATTTCTTGCAGCACACATCCCACTTTTTTTGTACCCCTTTTTGCACACTGTCAGCAAAACGCGTCCCTTTGAGTATCTTCGGCTAACCAGTCTTGGAGTTATTGGTAAGTTATTAGGGTTGTCTTACAAGCCTGAAATACTCATTCATAATAGCGATCTTAACTTCGGTGTTTTGTTTTGTCTTTTATAACTTTTGTTCACCAGTTGTTTGTTTTTTGTCTTTGAGGTTGAGTCTGTTTTCACTAATAAATGAGGATATAATAACAAATAATAATAAATATTTGTTAAATAATAAGTAAATAAGTCATATAATGGTTCTTATCAAGTACCATTCTGTGTGTTGTTAATAAGGGTATGAAGCCCAACATTTGGGATTAAATTTAGCATATATATAGAAACATTTATTGGAATTGTAGGGAGAGTAAAGAACAAGAACTGCAGTCAACAAAGAGTATTATTACAGGGATAAGAATTTGAGCTGGTGTTGTGTTTTGTTTGTTTCTCTTTTCTAACTTTTGAGCTGTTCTCCCATAACTGAAGATGTTTGTCTTCTGCTTCACCTAGTTGAATTTTTGCATGCTACAGTTAATGTTTCCACATATATTTACTATGGGAGATGTGACTAAAATATGTTTTGCTCAGGAAAATAATACATTAGCTGTTTCAGATCTCAGACTCCCAGATAATAAAGAACTGTCTTTGGATTTGTGAAAAGTAAATACATTCAAGGTTTCTTTCCAGGGGTGCCTGGCTGGTTCAGTCGGTAAAGCATGCAACTCTTGATCTTAGGGTCGTGAGTTCAATCCCCATGCCCCACGTTGGGCATGGAGCCTACTAAAAAAAGAAGAAGAAAATGATTTCTTTCCAAACTCACCCTTCAGTATCTTTTTCTCATAGTTTTTGCTCATGTACTGACCAAACAGTAAGAACATTGATTTTTTTAATAAACTTTTTTGTTTTATTTATTTATTTTGAGGAGGGGAGGGGCAGAGGGAGTGAGAGACAACCCCAAGCATGCTCCACACTGGTAGCACAGAGCCCAATGAGGGGCTTGAACTCATGAAACCGAGAGTCACTTAACTGACTGAGCCACCCAGGCGCCCCAATAAGAACATTGGTTGTACAGACTTTGTTTTGTTTGTTACTGTTTTTATCTTCAATTTGTGTTCATATCCCTACAATTATAAACCATGGAACAGGAAGTATACTTCAAAAGTTTGGTACTTTTAAGGCACCTGGGTGGCTCAGTTGGTTAAGCATCCAACTTTGGCTCAGGTCATGATCTCATGGTTCCTAAGTTCGAGCCTGCACATCAGGCTCTGCACTGACAGTGCGGAGCCTGCTTGGGATTCTTTCTCTCCCCCCCTCTCTCTCTGCCCCTCCCCAACTCATGCTTTCTCTCTTTGTCTCTCAAATAAATAAATAAACTTTAAGATAAAAAACAAAAAGTTTGGTACTTCTGAGACATATTTCTCAGAGACACTTTATTGTACATTTAAGGAGTAGCTGTTAATCTCGTATACAAGTGAATGTTACTCTTTTTTACATCCCCTCTCAAGTGGTACTCTAATTAGAAACTTTTTCCCCCAATATATTGTTTTCTACTTTTAAGTTACAAAAATTTCCCATGGAGGATTTAAAACATGAACAAGGTACCAGCCAAAAGAAAACATTTATATCCTTAATTCTGATTTAAATTACACCCTACTTCTGCTGGTTTTTAAACCACTACAGTTAGATGATGCATTTGGGATCTTGGGATAAACTTAACTGTAGGGGGATAAAAAAAAAAAAAAAAACACTCAGACAGTATAAAGCTAGTTGTTTGCCCTTGCATATATTTTCTGAAACTTAATTTCTCCAAGTCAGTTGAGAGTACAAGCTGAAGGTAAATGTTGGGCCTAGACTTTTTGCTTACAGTTCAAAGGTTATCACAAAAGTTTGAATATAAATGAAATGATACATGAAAAATTAGAAAATACTTGAAAGTGAATAAAATAAAAACAGCATATCAAAGCTTACAGGGTGCAGCTAAAGCAGGGCTTACAGGGAAATTTGTAGCATAAAATGCTAATACTAGAAAGGAGGAAAGGTCTTCAATGTTCAAACCTTTCCACTTTAAGAAAATAGAAAAAGGAGCAAATTAAGCTAAATTGAACAGAAGGAAGGAAATAATAAAGAACAGACATCATTGAAAATGAGAACAGGAAAAGGATAGATAAAATCAATGAAACCAAAAGCTGACTTTTTTTGAGATATAATTGACTCATAACAAACATTTTGTTAGTTTTAAATGTACAGCATAACAATTTGATACATGTATAGATTGCAGAATGATTACCACAGTAAGTTAAAATCCATCACCACACACAGTTATAAAAATTTTTCTCGTGAGGAGAACCTTTAAGATCTCTCTTAACAACTTTGAAATATGCAATACGATATTGTTACTGTAGTCATTGCACGTTGCAGTCCCAGTACTTATAATTGGAGGTTTGTACCTTTTGACCACCTTCACCTATTTAACCCACCCCCAATTTTTTACTGAAAAAAATTCAGTGGAATTAATAAACCTGTAACTGGATAGACTGGGAGAAAAAGAGAAAACACAAATTATAAGTACCAGGAATGAAAGGGTGTATGTTACAACAGACCATAGACACTAAAAGAATAATGAGAGAATACTGCTAATAACTCTGTGCCCATAAATTTGATAACTTAGGTGAAATGGCCAAATTTTATGAAACTTTTCCAGAATATAGAAGGCTTCTAAATTCTTAGTAAGGCCAGCATTACTCTGATAATAAACCAGAAAAAAGACATTGTAAGAAAACTTTAGGCCAGTAGCCCTCAAGAACATAGATGAAGAAATTCTCAACAAAATGTTAACAAAGCAAGTCCAACAATATATAAAAAGGATCATCATGACCAAGTGGGTTTATCCCAGGAGTGCATGATGGTTTAACTTTCAAAAATCAGTCAATATAGGGGTGCTTGGCTAGCTCAGTTGGTAGAGCATATAACTCTTGATCTCAGGGTTGTGAGTTCAAGTCCCACATTGGGTGTAGAGATCACTTAAAAAGAGAATCTTAGGGACACCTGGGTGGCTCGGTTGAGCATCAGAGTCTTGATTTCAGCTTAGGTCATATCCCAGGGTAGTGGGGTTGAGCCCCACGTGGGGCTCCGCACTAAGCTTGGGGTCTGCTTGGGATTCTCTCTCTCTCCCCCCTGCCCCCTCCCCTGCTCACATGTGCTGTTGCTTTTTCTCTCATAAATAAATAAACAAACAAATCTTTTTTAAAGAATGGTCGATATAATTGACCATTTCAACAGACTAAAGAAGAAATATTGGTTGTTTCTTTCATTAAAAAAAAAAAAAATAGCGGACAGAATTCAGCCTCCCTTTATGATAAAAACGCCAGCAAAGTAGAAATGGAGAGAACTTTCTCAACCTGATAAAGTTAAAAAAAAGAATCCTACAATTAAGATCATAGTTAATATGAAAAACCAGGCATTGTCCCCTAAGATTGAGAACAAGGCAAGGATGTTTATTCTCACCACTCGTATTCAGTATCATTCTGGAAATCCTACCTGGTGCAATAAGGCAAGAGAAAAGAATAAAGGGCATACAAATTAGAAAGAAAAAAGTAAGACTGTTTATTCACAGACAACAAGGTTAACTACATAGAAAAATCTTGAAGAACCTACCCAAACAAAGCTACTGGACCTAGTAAATTTAGCAAGGTTGCAGGATATGAGGTCAGTATTCGAAAATGAATCATTTTATGTGGTAGAAACAGTCAAATTGAAATTTTAAAAACCTACCATTTATAATAGCACCAAAACATGAAAAATTTGGGTGTAAGTCTTACAAAATGTGCAAGATCTGTAGGTAAAAAACTACAAAACAATGATGAAAGCAAAGAAGTCCTAAATAAATGCAGAGATATACCATGTTCATTGATAGGTATATAAATGATTCAATGTTGTTGAGATGTGAGTTCTCCCCAAACTGATGTATATGGACTTAGAGCAATTACAACAAAATCCCAGCAGGATTTTTTTTTTTTTTTTTTTTAATTTTTTTCAACGTTTTTATTTATTTTGGGGACAGAGAGAGACAGAGCATGAACGGGGGAGGGGCAGAGAGAGAGGCAGACACAGAATCGGAAACAGGCTCCAGGCTCTGAGCCATCAGCCCAGAGCCTGACGTGGGGCTCGAACTCACGGACCGCGAGATCGTGACCTGGCTGAAGTCGGACGCTTAACCGACTGCGCCACCCAGGCGCCCCACGGATTTTTTTTTTTTTAATATAGAAACAACAAGCTGTTTCTGAAATTTTTATGGAAAGGCAAATGAGCTAGAATATGCAGATTTTAAAAAGAAGGACAAAGTTGGAAGGCCTGCACTACCTGATTTCAAGATCTACTGGAAAACTGTGGTTGTAAAGACAGTGTGGTATTGGAGAAAAGCTAGGCTTGTAAATCAATGGAGCAAAATGGGGAGTCTAGAAATTGACCCATGCAGATATGGTTAATTGATTTTTGCAAAGGTGCAAAGATAATTTCATGAACAAAGGATAATAGTCTTTTCAATAAATGGTGGTAGGACAATTAAGATATCCATATGTAAAACCATGAAGCACAATCTATACCTTGTACTCTATGTAAAAATTAATTCAGAATGGATTTTAAACCTACGTGTAAAGTGAAAATTAAATAGTGATTTGAGGGGTGCCTGGGTGGCGCAGTCGGTTAAGCGTCCGACTTCAGCCAGGTCATGATCTCGCGGTCCGTGAGTTCGAGCCCCGCGTCAGGCTCTGGGCTGATGGCTCAGAGCCTGGAGCCTGTTTCCGATTCTGTGTCTCCCTCTCTCTCTGCCCCTCCCCCGTTCACACTCTGTCTCTCTCTGTCCCAAAAATAAATAAACGTTGAAAAAAAAAATTTTTTTTTTTTTTTAAAATAGTAATTTGATATCTGCTATAGGCCACATTAGTAAATTCTTCTATGTGCTGTTTGGTATGGGGTTTAGAGATTGTAGCATTTGTAGATTGCCAGTTCTTATTTTAAGTAAATGATATTCCTTTCTAATCGAAAGTGATTAAGTTATTATAGATCTAATTAACTGAGGCCTTTCATACAAAAACTGGTTGATGCGTTGGACAGCTCAGGGACCAGTCATTTGTTTAATGAGGCTCTGCTTCCCTATGTACAGAATAGAGAAGATATCCCTGAACTGTGTCTGTTACCTGGTCCGTGGTGTCAGTTTAGAACTCAACAGAATTTAATTGGGATGAATTTCAAAAATCATTTGTTCCGACTCTTTTTTTTATAGATAAAGAAACAGAGACCTATAAAGAGAGGGTAACTCTACCAAACTTTGGTAAACAAGTTGCGGGACTAGGATTAAAGTTCAGGTGTGTGTGTGTTTCTGGTTTGGGTACACCCTTCCATGATTGTGCTCTTTGGGGAAAGAGTAACAATTAAGTAACCAAGAAGTAATGTTTGTTTATGTCCAATGTGAAATAGGATTCAAATTGACACCATTTCTTTGCTACCTGGGGATATCCTTTAGTACTGATACAGAACTCTTCTCTCCTCCCTAAAATAAATAGAAAGTAGATGGTGATGTCATTGTGTAGCCAAGAATGTTAGAAAAATGAGTTAGATGGCTGAACTGCCGCTCACTATGTGATGGACCAAACCTGGTACCTGATCTTTCAGATGCTGACTGATAACAGTCAACCTCTGCTTTCTCTTCCCTTTTTTTTTTTTTTTAAACATCAGTATGAATCTGATTCTCTGACATGAATGAACCACAACGTATCTTCTCTCTGTTATTTAAGTTCCACAACTAGTTGAATGAACACTCATTCCAAAGTTAATTAAAAACATTCACTCTGAAATAATTTTGTCCATATTTTCTTTAGGGGCCCTAGTGAAAACAGATGAGCAGGAAGTAATCAACTTTTTATTGACAACAGAAATCATCCCTTTGTGTTTGCGCATTATGGAATCTGGAAGTGAACTTTCTAAAACGGTATGTGCTTTTCAACTTAGATTTTATGTTTTGTTGGCTCTTGGACTACTTTATGGTTCTGGGATCATTTTCTGCCTTCCTTCAGGCTTTTTGAAACTTATATGAATATATTTTCTCTCTTGGATAAAAATTGTTATAAAATGGTCATTTAAAAATCCAGACCTGGGGCACCTGGGTGGCTCAGCCAATTGAGCATCAGACTCTTGATTTCAGCTCAGGTCATGATCCCAGGGTCATGGGATCAAGCTCCCAAGTTGGGCTCCATGCTCAGCGTAGAGCCTGTTTAGGATTCTCTCTCTCTTTCTCTCTTTCTCTCTCCCTCTCTCCCTCTGCCCCTCTCCCCAACTTGCTCTCTTGTGTGCGTGCACTCTCTCAAAAAAAAAAAACCAACAAACAAAAAAACCCATATATATATATATATATACGTATATATATAAATATATATATACGTATATATATATATACACATATATATGTATTTTTTTTTATCAAGCCCTTCAGAAGAATATAAAGTTAAACACTAACATTTTTCAGTTTTCTCTGAACCCACTTCTCACCACAAATGTATATAATTCCAGGGGCACCTGGGTGGCTGGAATCAGTTAAACATTAAAACTGTTCAGGTCATGATCTTGTGGCTGGTGGTATTGTGCTTTCGAAACCTGGAACCTGCTTCGGATTCTGTGTCTCCATCTCTCTCTGCCTCCCACCCCTCATAAATAAACATTAAGTGATTTTTTGGGGGGCTCCTGGGTGGCCTTGATCCCAGCGTCCGACTTCAGCCAGGAGTCCCCTCTCCCACATGATCGTGGTTGACAGGCAGCGTCCGGGACTCTCTGGGCTGATGGCTCAGAGCCTGGGCCTATTTCGATTCATGTCCCTCTCTCTCTGACCCTCCCCCGTTCATGCTCTGTCTCTCTCTGTCCCAAAAATAAATAAACGTTGAAAAAAAAAAATTAAAAAAAAAAAATTTTTTTTAATGTATATTCCAGACATTTTTTTACGCATACTCAAGTGTATATATGCCTTGGGCTTTTGCTTACTTTGCACTTTAACTATGAATGACAGCCCCCGATTGGGTATAAAATTCTTATCTCTCCCTATCAGAAGTATGTTGCCATAGCCCTGTTGTCTTCTGATATTGAATGTACAGTGAAATCTTGGGCCAGCAGTGTAAGTTAATCCTTTTGTTGGTGAACTTGCCTTTTCTGTGTGGATGTCTGTAAGCTTCTTTTATTATTTTTAACTTCATTTGATGATTTTGTATCAATTTTTTTTCTGGAAGAACATACTCCTCGTGTTTCTTGTTTTTATATAGTTTTCTCCTTAAGTTGTTCTAGTCTTTTCCCTCAGCAATATCATTTATGCCTTTCACATCTATTCTTCTTTCCCTTTAATAATGTACTACTTTTTTTTTTAATTTTTTTTTTTTTAACGTTTATTTATTTTTGAGACAGAGAAAGACAGAGCATGAACGGGGGAGGGTCAGAGAGAGGGAGACACAGAATCCGAAACAGGCTCCAGGTTCTGAGCTGTCAGCACAGAGCCCGACGTGGGGCTTGAACTCATGGACCGCGAGATCATGACCTGAGCCGAAGTCGGCTGCTTAACCAACTGAGCCACCCAGGCACCCCAATAATGTACTACTTTTTAAATTTCATGTCATGTGATTTTTCTCAAGGCTACTTGTCCATGTTGCTATTTTTAGCAACATCAAACCTCAGCTCCTAAAGTATGCTTAGTCACATTGAATTAATTTAATTCAATGAATATTTTATTGCTGGGTTGGATGCAAGCAGATGTAATGGTTTTAAATTTTTTTTATTTTAAACATGCAACACAGGGGCGCTTGGCTGGCTCAGTTGGAAGAGCATGCAGCTCTTGATCTCAGGGTCATGGGTTTGGACCCCACATTATGGGTAGAGATTACTTTAAAAAATAAGTAAATAGGACGCCTGCATGGCTCAGTCATTAAACATCTGATTTAGGCTCATGTCATGGTCTCAACAATTGTGAGTTTGAGCCCCGAGTCAGGCTCTGTGCTGAAGGCATGGAGCCTACTTGGGATTCTCTCTCTCCCTCTCTTTCTGCCTTTCCCTTTTGTGTGCACTCTCTTTCTCGCTCTCTCTCAAAATAAACTTTTTTAAAGAAGTAGTAGGAAAAGTTTTACTTACCTCATTTAGAAGAGATAAGGCACAGCTAAATTTCTAAATTCCTCTTGGCCCATGGAAAAAAGAAAACTAGGTTTTCAAACTAGGTTTGGATCTCAACTCTACAACTTAGTGGCTTTGTCACTTGGGACCTTAACCTTACAAGTTATTGATTAGCAGTTATGCCTGGCACATAGTACATGTTAAATAACTGGAAAAGTATCTGCATTTTTTAAAATTTGTTTATTTTGAGAGAGAGAGAGTGTGCGTGAGCAGGGGAGGGGCAGAGAGGGAGAGACAGGATCCTAAGCAGGCTCTGCACTGCCAGTGCAGAGCCCGATACAGGGCTCAAACTCACAAATTGTGAGATCATGACCTTGGCCCAAACCAAGAGTTCAGATACTTAACTGACTGAGCCACTCAGGTGCCCCCATATATCTATATTTTTAAGAAATTGTTAGTTACCCAGACCTGCCCTTTTATATAAAATGTGAATAACAGTAGGACCTACCTCACAGGTTTATTGTGAAAATAAGACGAGGCACGTTATGCCTATAGGAAAAACTCTGGCACATGGTAATGTTTATTATGAATCTTTTTTAACTATGCCTATCTTGGGGAGTAAGTTGTACATAATGTCAGGGTCTCTGCTTAATTTTCTGATTCACAATTATTCCCGGGAGATGAATCAACATTTGGAAGACAAATCTGAGCAACGTTTTAGACTCTTTAATTTTGTTTTACTCCAGGTTGCCACGTTCATCCTCCAGAAGATCCTTTTAGATGACACAGGTTTGGCATATATATGTCAGACATATGAGCGTTTCTCCCACGTTGCCATGATTTTGGTGAGTTCTTTCATCTGTCTCTATCCCCCTTATGGTTACTTCTGATTACACAGCTTAGTCCCTTTTGCAGTTGACACTGAACAGCATCCTGGAACCTTATATAATGATTCTTGAAATATCTGATCTCTGATGTCAACTAGAATTATTTTGTATTTTGTGTGTTTTTTCCTACCCCACACCATTTTGGGGGAAAATAGGGTAAGATGGTCCTGCAGCTATCCAAAGAGCCTTCTGCCCGTCTGCTGAAGCATGTAGTGAGATGTTACCTTCGACTCTCAGATAATCCCAGGTAACTAAACATTTACAGGATTTATGGGACTTTGGGGAAATACTCTGGTGAGTGGTTGCCCTGTCTCATGGCATAGCTCTTAATATCTTTAGGGTAGGCAAGGGATATAACTTTAAGTCAGACAGAACTTAATTAAATCCTTTTCAAATCTGAAGTGCTGAATTTAAAAATCCCATCAGAGGGGGTGCCTGGGTGACTGAGTCAGTTAAGCGTCTGATTCTTGGTTTCAGCTCAGGTCATGATCTCACGGTTCATGAGTTTGAGCCCCACGTCAGGCTCAGCACTGACTGTGCAGAGCCTGCTTGGGATTGGGATTCATTCTCTCTCTCTCTCTCTCTCTCTCTCTCTCTGCCCCTCCCCCCATCTCTCTCTCTCTCTCTCTCTCTCTCTTTCTCTGTCTCTCTCTCTTTGTCTCTCTGTCTCATAAAAATAAATAAACTTTGAAATAAAATAGGGGCGCCTGGGTGGCTCAATCTGTTAAACGTCCAACTCTTGATCTCAGCTCAGGTCATGATCTCACAGTTCATGAGTTCAAGCTTCACATTAGGCTCTACGCTGATGGTGGGGAGCCTGCTTGAGATTCTGTCTCTCCTCTCTGCCTCTCACCTGCTTGTATGCTCGCTCACTCTCAGAATAAATAAATAAAAACTTAAAAATTCATCATAGTTTTGGGGGTGCTTGGCTGGCTCAGTTGGTAAAGCATGCAGCTCTTGATCTCAGGGTCATGAGTTCAAGCCCCACGTTGGGCGTAGAGCTTACTTTGGAAAAAAAAAAATCAGTTTTGTCTCCCCACTGTAACTCTGTACCCTCCTCTAAAATTTCAGAGAATCTAGTCAGTTTCCAGCAAACCTTATGATACATTATTCCTGTGGTTTGAGCTTTCTATTGCTGCTTCAGGTGGTCAGAAAGAGAAGTATATTTTCAAAGATCTCTTAAGAAAGGAATGGAGCCCAGAGGACTCTTGAATTACATTTTCAGTTTTCTCTTTGATTCCTGTAAAGTCCTTGAACTAATTATTTTATCTGCCTGTGTTCATAATCTTTGTCAGAAATCATACATTGTAGATATGATGCATTTTAGAAATGTTTGACCTTTTGCTTTGTAAATCCATAATTCATGCTGAAAGCCACTTGCTCAGGTTCTGCTAAACCACATAATGGGGCAATTTCTGTGTTCCTAGGAATGGGGATAACTCGATTTAATGTGAACGCAGCCTTCTCCCACTGAGGTTATTCAAGCCCTAGCTATTTCTTCAACTATTTTGTCCTGTTCTTCAGTGGTTCCTGTTCCCATCAGTTTGAAAATATGTTTATTTAAAATTCTACTTGTACAAAGAAACCAGACTGAACAAAAGCCGTAACTTTATTTAAAACAGCTTTATAAATCATTACCGTTTACCTGTTTAAGGTTTTCAGATTTGATTTTTCTCTGATTATCTTTTAAAGAAAATGATACATTTAAAAGTTCATCTGATAATGTTGCCACCATTGTTTTGTTTTTACTTCTCACCTTTTATTAAACCTTTTAACTATGAAGCTGAAGCAGGGGCGCCTGGCTGGCTTGGTCAGTAGAGCATGCAACTCTCGGTCTCAGAGTCCTGCATTCAAGCCCCACATTGGGTGTAGAGCTTACTTTAAAAAAAAAAAAAAAAAAAGGGAAAGAAATAAAGAAACTGAAGCAGTTTTTGGAAAGACACAAGTTTATACTGTTCAGAATTAAAGTTCATTCATTTACCGTAATGAGTCAAGTCATCTCCCCTGTTCATGCACTGACTTTAGAAATGTTTCATTTACCATAACCCATCTATTTCTGTCATGAGCGTATTGGCAGTATTCACTGTAATGAATCCGAAAGCAGTTGGAATTCAGGTGAACTCTTGCACCACTTCATTCCATTTTGCTTTGTCATGAAATTCCACATTGAGGCATCATTCTGAAAATACTCACAGACGACAGATCCTGGAGACCTCTGAGCCCATGCCTAATACAAGTTTTAAGGAATTTTAATGGATTAAGATACCTTGACTGAACTGCATATTCCCAGGATTCATTATGTGTGTATCTAAGACAGAACTTCTTCTCTGTCCCCCAAATGTGGGTTTATTTGCTGGTCTCCCCGGTTGGCTTGTTTGTCTCTGATGTAGGGCACGTGAAGCGCTCAGGCAGTGCCTCCCTGACCAGCTGAAGGACACGACCTTCGCCCAGGTGCTAAAAGACGACACCACCACGAAACGCTGGCTTGCACAACTGGTGAAGAACCTGCAAGAAGGCCAGGTCACCGATCCCCGGGGTATCCCCCTGCCCCCTCAGTGATCCTCCCCCGCCCCCTTCCACTGCTCCCCCAAGTTGGGGACAGGAGGGGGAACCTGCGAGGAAAACAGCTCAGGTTTTACCGCCGACCGCGAATAGACAACCTCAACGCTGAACTGCACTGGAGAAGAGGGGCAAGGTGACCCCGCTTGAGGAGTGTGGGCTGCCATCTCAGGCCGCCTCCAGGACCTGGGCTCCCTCCACTCCTCCCAGGAGATGGGCTCCTGACACAGCAGTCTGCCACCACAGCTCCAGGAGGGTGTCCACACCAGCAAATGCTGTGTCTGCAGCATGCCCGAGATGGCCCTTCTCCCCCACCTCCACCAGCCACTGGCGGGGAGGGGAGACAGGGTGGTGGCAGCAGCACTGTAGGCATGCTGAGCGCCTGGGACCAAGCCAGGTGGCGGTTTTTTATTTTGCCTTCCTGGAAGACTCAAGATGTGTCTCTTCATCCTCTCTCTCAGTATTTGTTTACTTTGGTCTTTTGTTTTTAATGTCAGAGAGAGGTGTGTTTAGTGGACACAAGCTGTAATACTCAGCAAAACTTTGTCAATTGGCACTGTTTACAAGTCTGTTAGCTGCATAAGCTTAATAAAAAGTTGGTCTGGGCATTACATCCCCTCTAGCAGGCCAATAGCTGCATGAACTGTGGGGAGGAATGGGAAGCAGGGGATAGAGAAAGCCAAAGGACAACAGGACCCCACGTCCTCTTTCCGTTCCCTTTCTGTTCTTCCGCCCCCAGTTCCGGATGCCACAAGGACCCTAACCTTGTTTCTGGCTCCAGCTGCTAGCTTTTCCAAATCTCAGTGCTTTTCTCTTTTTTACATCCCTCGTATTAAAACTCTAACAGACGTCTTAATTCATCAGGCTGTCCTGGGAGGGTATTGTACTGGGGGAGGAGAGACAGCAGTGGACCTCACCTTGAATTCCAGTCCTTGGAGAGATTTTCTGGGTGACTTAAAGGGGAGGTGCCTGGGATTAAGATGATAGGCTACTCAATCCCGTTCTTTGCTTTAGTATGAGTTCCTGTAGCTCCATCTGTCTTCATAATTGTACTTGAAGTGGTATTAGCTGAATGAACTCATGTTATTCAGATTTAAGATGGAGGACTGGACTCTGCTTCTTCACTTAAGTCTCCTTTTTTTTTTTTTTTTTTTTTTTTTTTTTTTTTTGGACACATTCCCTATTGGTCTATGGGAATTACAGGGTTGACACTAAAATATTTCCAGCTTGTTCATATTGTGTCAGAGAGTCCCCCTTCTATCTTTGGAGCTCTAGATAACTCTTCACACTCCATTGGCTTGAATCTAACGTGTAAACTGTCTTGCTTTCCTCTAGTCCTTCCCCCTGCCAACACCTGCTTGCTCTCTCTCATCCCCATCTCCAATCACAGATGGGATTACTAGTCAAGTCTAGAGAGAGACAAAGTATTTTCTGTCCACATCTTACACAAATGAAGGTGCCTCCAAACAAGTTGGGCCAGGAGGCGGGGGGCTGTCTGCAAGCGGCAAGCTCAGAGAAACCTTCGCAGAGACAGTTTTGCCAACATGAGGGCTCTTTCAAGCCGACTTTCACCAAGAGAGCCGGCCTTGTTAGTTGGCTTCTGTCTCTTTAGAACCAAGAAAGTAGTAATTGAGTAGCCTAGATGTAGAAAGGGTAGAATAAGCACTTATTCCCCTGCCTTCCAAAAATAAAGAGGAGAATCAGGTCAGCTCTCAGTCTCAAGCCTGAAGAGAAGAGGTCTTGGAGAAAGCAGAGAACAACATGGACCAGATAGACGTCTGGACCTCCTTCAGCCCTTAGTTTGTGATCTGGAGAGTCCAGCTAAGATATCCCTTATTTTTGCCAACTGCCTTCCTGCTGAGCCAAAGTTTCTCATTCCCCCTCCACTGAGGAAGCAGCTGAGGCCCAGGGCCTTGCCCCCTGGGAGATTCTCTTCTCTCTCCATCTTTTGGTGCGTTGGCCATGTTACTGTGCCAACAGTGTCTTAATTCCTGTTCCATCTATTCTCAGCTGGTCTTGGACCGCACACAGGAGTTGGGAGAGGGGTGGAAATGGGTATTATTCCTTGTAGTTGATCCTGATGCCTTATGTGTATAAAGAGACCCCTCCGTTTTTTGTTTTCCATCCCTCTCACACCCTAACAGGATTGAAATAAAACCTGTTTCTGATTTTATAAAGATAATTTTTCCTTTAAACTGGAGACTTGATTTTGTCAATATCTAGATATCTAGGCACTCTGGTCACATGATCCTTATCACCCCTGCCCCTACCATCTGTTCATCTACACAAATACACTGTTGTGCCAAGAGAGCATTGATGGTTCCTTTGTGGATAGGTCCCTTGGGAAAAGTCCTGCGGATGTATCAAAGCTGTTCGGGAGGCTGGGGTGGTGCCCTTTATCTGGTAAAATATCTTCCTGAAACAGAACCTCACTCCTGCCTGTAGTGGCCAAAACTTAATATGGGAGAGACTTCTATAAGTAAAGGGGTAGTGCTTGAAACATTTTATCACAGACTTTGATATTCATTTCCTTCTGAGGCTCAAGACTTAGCACACATCTCCTTAGTTTCCATGCCTGTTTCTGGCTCTCAGCAAGACGGAACCAGCCTCTGCTTCCAGCTTTTTTCCAAGGCACTGGGGGACCTGTGACTGAGTGGTGGAGCAGGGCAAGGAGACACACTGGCTGCCTTGAGAGCACTCTTTCCTTACTGTCTGCATAGCATTCCCCTGCTCACTACCCCTGCTGCTCAAAGGCTGAGAGGCGGAGCAGATAAAGTTCTTGCTGTCAAAAGTCCAAGTAAAACATTTGGAATAGGAAAGAATAGAATGAAATGAGATTCCTGAATGCTGTGGAATTTTTAAACTATTTTAATACATTTATTTCAAAGCTGATCTAACAGCTAAGTTGAACAACAACATTAACAAACCTAATGACATATAGAACACTGCACTCTAAACCGACATTATACATACTCTCTTCAACTACACCAGAAGCATTTACCAAAACTGGTCATAGCAGACCACCAAGCCTCAAAGTTTTTCAAGAAAAAATTAATGTTCTCTGAACACAGTGGAATTAAGTTGGGAAAAAGAAAACTGGAAAGTTCCTAACTTTAAAAAGCAAGCAGTACAGTTCTAAATGGCACAAAAGAAATCACAAGCGTAATTAGAAAAAAAAAAAGCCATATCAAAACCTGTGACATGCAGGTAAAGTAATAAATAAATACTACTTTAAATTCACATGTTCCAAAAGAAAGGATG